GCTCAGTAGGATAAGTGCTCACCTGGCAAGTGCAAGAGCCTGAGTTCAATCCCCGGTTCCACAAAAAAAAAAAAAAAGAATACTTTATAGTTAAAATACTTAGAATTTTTAAAAGTGTGTAATCAGCACACATTTTTAAAATTAAAACTACAATTTAGAACTGCTAAGCAGTTCAAAGTGAATTTATATTTGCATTATTGAGAAATATGAAAACTGGCAACTGACTCTATTCTAATTTACAAAACCATTTTAAAGAATCTAAGTGGAATATTTGCTTAAATAGAAATAGTAAACAGAATGGACAACTACATACCAAGAACGTAGAGAGTTCTATAGAACATGGAAGTTAGAACTAGCATGGGAGAATTAATAAATCTTTTTTATTTCTAGAATCCTACATTTCTACAGTTCTCCCAGCAGTAAAATTATGCTTTTAAAGAAAGCTACAAAATCTAAAAAATTAATTTTTCAAGTATATTACCCCAGTCAGTGTACTACACATATCAAGTATCTCCCATTTTGATCTTCCTTATGAAAAACTGAACATGTCCCTCCAGCACACCTTGTCTTTAAGCTACAACACAATAAAAATTGCTGGGTTGCTGATGAACCATCCAATAAGCTGATTCAAGATTCCAACTCTCATTTCTAGTATTAAAATAGTCACAGTACCTGCTGCTTCAAACACTAGAACTGTCTGATTTTAGTTTCATCAAAGTTGAGACTTGCTTTGGTAGAAAGTTCCAGTTCCACTTTAAAAGTTTCTTTAAACAAAACCCAAGTAACTCTGCTTTTCTCTTAAGTGAACAAAGTCAAGGAAATCATACCACACTTCTGTTAGGTAGAGCACAGCAGCGGAGTTGCCACGGCAGCTGTTGTACACTGATCACAGAACGCCCATCCAGGAAAGAGCTTTTGCTCCACCCACCAGCGAGCCAGTGGTCCTGCCAAGTAGGCTGTGTTTTCGGCCGAGCAGTGATGGAGAACTGCTCTTTACTGTCTCCTAGGAGTGTTACCTCAACAACCCAAACAAACTCCAAACCAAGCTGCTGTGTGTGATTATGTTTCTGCACCATGCTAGGTCTGTATTCTTCACTCCAGCCCTGTAGGAACCTGGGATAGGAAAGGAGTCAAACTAATTTTCCTTTAAGCACAGAGAAAAAAAAAAAAAAAATACAACATTTCCACTTTTATTAGGAATATATTTAAGTTTTTGCCTTCAGACTTTAACACATATAAACTTACATGCTATAATCATTATTATTATTCTGGCCACTCGTATTCAAAAACACATTTACTGAGTCTTAAACATCAAGCTTTCTGTTGCGATTCTTTCACATTATTTCATCTAGGATTAGTATAATCCCTGTGAATAGGATTAGTATAACTCCTACTTTACAGATGAGAAACTAAAGCTCTAAAGTTATTTGATTATGTAAGATAATAAAAAATGAAGTCAGAATTTGAATCCAAGTCTCTTCAACTTGAAAATCTGTGTTCTTTTCTACTATTCTACTTTCATGAGAAAATACTTAATTCTTGATTGAAATATTCATTTATAAAATGATTTTTACATTTTGTTTGTTTTAGCAATACATTTCCATAAGTAATAACTTTTCTGATAAAAATATATTTGCTGAGCACGTTGGCACACACTTGGCAGGCAGAGGCAGGAGGATGATCATAAATTTGAGGCTAGCTTGAGCTATACCACAAAAGACCTTGTCTCAAAACAACCCAAATCCCGCCCCCCACACCCACCCACCCACACAATCTCCACCTACCTAAATGCATAGAAAACAAAGAAATACAAGTAAAAGTCTACATGGCTACATTATGGTCATGGTGAGTGTAGTATTTGTAGTTTTTTTTTTTTCTTTGTTGTTTTTTGGCCATTTACTTATTCATTTTATTTTTATTGTCTTTTTTTTGAGACAGGGTCTCATTATGCAGTTCAAGCTGGCCTTGAGCTCATTTTGTAGCCCAGGCGAGTCTTGAACTTGCAAGGATCCTCCTGCCTCAGCCACCTGAGTGCTAGGATTACAGGCATGTACCACCAAGCCTGGCTTTTTTTGTTTTGGTACCAGGAATTGAACGCATGACCTTACACTTGCCAGGCAGGCGCTGTAGCACTGAGCTATATCTCTTGCAGGGTTTTTGTTAAGTTTACAGAACTTGTATCTTTGAGGATAGGAAAGGTAAAGCAGAAAAAAGAAAAATTAATGTGGTGTGAACACTGAGTTTAATGGAACATCCTGGGGAACACCTCCCAGGCCAAGGAGCTGATAGGGAAGGCAAAAAGCAAATAAAGGACACATATCACACATCTTATTCAAACTAGAAGAGACTGTGATCTGTGCTGTTGATTACTTTAAAGTTCCATTCCAAGTGTTGGTCTACCAGTGTTCAGGCAGCTCAGGTATGGAAACACCTCTCCCACGGCGTTTCTTCTCACCATTAGCATGAAATCACAGTCCTCCTCCTCTTCCTTAGAAGGTTCAGAATTACCCACATTCCTATAAATACCTTTTGGAAATTTTCTAGGAAAACAGAAACAATTTTTCTTAGCTCCTCAGGTCCCTGAACTATTTTTTTTTTCTCTTTTTGAGACAGAATTTCACTATGTGGTTCAGGCTGTCAAACTCACTTTGTAGTCCAGGCTAGCCTCAAACTCACAGCAACCCTTCTGCCTCAGCTACCTGAGTGTTAAGATTATAGGCACGCACCATCATGCCTGTCTAAAAATGTTTTCATACCCAAAGACTGAACACTCCTCCTGGTAAGAATTCAGAGAATTTGGTAAATATATATTTCCAACTCTGTCCTTTTGGAATCATCATTTTTTAAACTGCTACTATATATTTTAAGCTTTTCTTATAGCTTTTTTTAAAAAAATTTTATTTATTTTTTTTTTTTTTTTGGAGAACCAGGGATTGAACTCAGGCCCTTGCACTTGCCAGGGAAGTGCTTATTCTTCTGAGCTATCTTCCCGGCCCCTTCTTACAGCTTTTCTGTCTGTCCTCTGTTACTAGTTTATTTGATGACTCAAATCGTCTAGTTGCATTGGAGGATTTGAGTAGAAATCCAAGAGTTCAAAAGAGTTGTAGATTTCATAGGTATCTAAAAAGCCAAGTGCCAATTTATTATAAAACATGCTTAAAGAATGTGATTATATCACTAATTTTAAAATATAAAAAGATATGCCACATCCCTGTGTCTTTTTTTTTTTTTTTTTCTGAATAAGGTTATTAAATCCCTAACTCTCTTTCTATATTGTCTTATAAAAATATACCACTTTTTTGGGTGGTAGAAAGTCACAGTACCAATTTATATCAATGGACATTATATATAAAGCAAAGAATAAAAGCAAAGTTATAAAGAAGGTAAAACAATTCACTGGTATTTAGAAACTAGATTTGTAAAAGAGAATAGGAATATTATTCTGTCAGTGGTTTACTGTCTTGTATATATTAGGCAACTATGAATTCCCATTTGTAATTGTTACATAAAACCAATGTTAAAGATATTTTCACATAATTGCAGAACTATTAAGCTTTTACCTTTCTCAAAAAAAAAATATTTCAAAGCTTTAAAACAAGACAGGGAGGCAGCACTAGGAAAATTAAAGATCTGTTTGTACTCTGTTCATTTAATGTTGGTTCTTTACAAGTCTACTAAATGAAAAAGTGGAATAGTACTGATAGCTCATATTTAACTCAATTTTGAATACTGAGTAATTTAGTCTAATTTCCTAGATTTAGCTTAAGATATTTACAGAGTGAATAATGTTTCTAAATCATGAGTTTAGGGACTTCGGAGAGTAAGGAAAAAAGTACCACACTATTTGGAATTCTTAATTGGTCATCAGCATTAATTTAAAAACTTGCAACTTCATGTTTTATAGAGGCCAGAAACATAATTTGAAATTTGACAAATATATATTAGATTGAAACAATTTTAACAATTCAAGTTCTTGCTGAGAGAGTTCATTTACGCTGACAAGCTTTGGTACTGCATTACTGTTCCCACATGATATCATCTCTTCTCAATTTCATCTGAATATTATGAACTTGTATTGGATGAAAGTTGTTGCTTTTCTGAGAAGAGTTAGCTTCATGCAAACATTTCCTGGGGCTATTTTTCATGTTTTTCAATTCTTGGTTACCATCTTGCTGAATACCCGAAGCTTTACTTGCCTTTGAGTTGTGAACTTTTTGCTGTAGCTTATAGACCTGAGAAAGAGAGAAAAAAATCTAACATTTTAGTCAAAAAGATACTAGGAATATATATGAATTGAATGGATGGCCTAAAAATCACATTAAACTACAAAGTTCAGCTCAGTAATTTTTTAGTTATACAACACTTATTATAAGCCAAGCACTGTGCTAGTCACGTAGGGATGTAATCAATAACATAGTTCTTGCCTTCTAGAGACTTATTGCTCTGATTTGTGAAAAAAGAGCATATAGGTAATAACTCAAGAATATTTCAAGCAGAGGTAACTCTTAGGAAAAACGTGTGTATTTGAGAAGGCTAACGTAGAACCAGATCATTTCAGCCTGGAAAAGTAGAAGGAAAGACAGTAGGAAGATACAAAATTGACAAAAAGCAGAGAACAATGAAAAAAGAACTTTTCAGGTGCTATTAACAGCAAAACAAAGGAGTGGTACTAGGAATGAGCACTTTATAAAATACGTATATAATCTTAGAAGTATCTTGAATTTAAAGTCCTAATCAATGTCAGAAAAAAATTTGAAAGAATTAATTTTACTTTCTTGAGGAAAGCCTGCTAATAACAGAGTAGACAGAATCAAATAAAGCAACCTAAGCAACAAACCTGAACAGATTTCTTCAAAATCTGACCCATAATTTATTATTTCACTCCTGCAAAGGTCTAACTTGTAGAGCTGATGTGGACATTGGGTGAGATTCTGGTTGCCTATTTGCCTAGGAGGCAATTGTTATTATAGGTTAAATTTACCATGATAAAATGCTTAAAATTTTATACTGTTATACCCATTATGGAATATAAATAATTTTCAAATTATAAAATCTACAGGCTGCCTAAATTTTACAAACATGGTTATTCTTTTTTTTTTTTTCTTTTTTTGCGGAACCAGGGATTGAATTTAGGCCCTTGTGCTTGCCAGGCAAGCACTTATTCTACTGAGTCATCTCCTCAGCCCCAAACATGATTATTCTTCTATTCAAGTTTCTCCTATTCAATTCTAAGAAAGTATACAAATTGTATTAAGTTTTATAATCTTCACTCCAAACAAGCATATGAAACTCTTTACTTACTATAGCCTACAAAGCCAACAGATTGAAAATATTTGTGTCAAAAGTTACATTTTTTTCTTTCTTGATCATAAACAGAATAAAGGTAATAATATTTTGCATTTTTATTACTTTCCTATAAAAGTGGGGGGAGTTATTTATAAGATTAATATATTACCAACTTACACTGATGATTATTTGATGTTTAAGGAAAATTTCCCTCTGCCTTCTGCCCTAGCAGCGTAATATTGCTGAAAGGTAAACTATATAGTCACTTTGTTGAAAAATAATATATTTGTAATTCTTTAAAGTGTTAAAAGTTATGCCATTTTTAGTTATTAAGACTTTACATATATGTATACAGTCCTTAAGACCTATGTCCTAAGTATAACTACAGTAGCTGAGCATAGGACCCCAGTAAATGGAATATGGCCCAGACTTTTGGGAAAGAGGAAACAGTGGTTTTAGAATTGGGGTACGACTTAAATAGCCAGGTTTATGTATGGTACCTTAGAGACTTGGGATCAGAGAGGTATCATTAAGACATTAGAGGAGAGATGACAAGGAAAAAGAATGGCTCAAAGGATAACTGGAAGGCTACTGAAGCTTTTTTTTTTTTTTTTTTTTTAACAATTTGTCTAAAGCCTAAATATCGTTTTTCTTTATAGTATCTTGTTGAGTTAGCTAGGAGGCCCAGGTCATCTGAATGGGGCAGATGGCTCTATATAAGAGGGGCTGAATGACTCCTATCTTTTCATCACCCCCACAGAGATGTAACACTGAATCCAGATAAATTATCTGTTTATTAAAACACTAAAACCTTCTTACACTGTCCTGATGCTTCTTCAGTCTGGAAATTTGCTTTCCTTTAATTTCCATTTTCTTGACTAAACGCTCTAGTTCATATTCTATATCATCACATACGGAATGGGTTTCAGTTTCCTTCATTTGTTTCAGTAGTTCTTCATGCTCCCTAGCAAAGAAAAAACAAATACCAAGGACTATTATAGTTCATAAAATCTGAGATTAGATACATTTAGAAATATCCTACGCTGTTAAACATCCTTAAAAAATTTGAATTCCAGATGTTCACAGCTAAATGTTTTAAAATTTTCTGATGCCTTATGGTTAGAGAAATTTGAAGGTTCTCTTCACTTCAAACTCTAGAATTTGAAATACTGTAAATAAAACTAGTTTATATATTTTATAGAGGTCTCACTTCAAGCAACTGGCGAGCCAAATTACATAATCCTGGAATTGCTGTTGACTATATATCTAAACAGGGGAATACTATAAAATGTCTCATACAGAATCTTCCATAGATGGTTGAAAATTTATAAGGCAGAACAGCTACAGTCTAATAGAAGGAATTATATGCCTACTTATCCAATGATGTCATTCATTTAACTAAAAGACTAAGAAATTAAAGAATCTTCCTTACAAAATCTTCTGGAAATTATAATCTAAGGTTAGTAGACTTTATATACTAGCTCTATGGTAACATGTCAATCAGTCCAGATTTAGGAACTACAGAAACTCCTTAAATTGGAGAAGTAGTAATTATACAGTTAAACATATAAGAATACAATGAAAAAAAGTGACAATAAATCTGCAGATTAAAATAATGTAACTCCTGCTAGGCATGGTGACACATGACTAAAGTCCTAGCTACTTTAGAGGCTGAGGTACATGGATCAAGACTGAGGCTAGCCTGGGCAATTTAGTTAGACCCTGTCTCAAGATAAAAAGAAATGAGGATGTAGTTCAATGGTTGAGAATTCAAATAGCTAAATAAATCTTTTCAGGATTTATAGTAGCATTTTTCTGGGGGAATGAAAAGAAAATATCTATAAATTTTGTTACTTCTATTAATACACAATAAAAATACTTACATGCTCATTTGGTCTAGCTCTTCCTGCATTGCCATCAAAAGTTCAGACAAACTGTCACAAATGGAAATAGACTTTTCTGATCCACGAGGTACAGCTTTACAGTACTGGGAAACGGCTCTAGGAGGCTTACAGAGACATCTAGGCTCAACCACTTGGGCGCATTTTGGGAGGTTACGTGGGCCACAGCGAGGCATCTTCTGCTGAAGGTCTTGCCAACTTGCATTCACCGAACAGCCTGCACTGGCAGACTTAAGGGAGGAAAAAATAGCTGAGGACAATTGAAATGATGGTATTTAAGCAGCACTTACAAATACAGAAGAAGGCTTTCTGAACTATCTTCATTTTTTTCCTCTCACCTTTTTAGCCTCAATAAGTGGTGCTCTAAGCTCTGAATAAATTTGTAGAGGTGGTCCTCTTTTCAAACATTTAGTTTTCTAAATATTGACAAGAAGAAAAGTAAACATTTTAAAATATATTTACATTATTAATTAACTCTCAAAACTGAACAGTAAGCAAAAATACAATTTGAAAAATCGGAACATTAAGAGTATATTTTTTCTTACCATTATAACTATAATACAATTATCTAAAATGTTAATTCATGTAAACAAGATACTGATCAATCCATAAAGTACTAACTCTATTAGGAAAATTCAAAGGATATGAACATAAAATAAATAATAAATTCCCTATATAAATGATTTTATACATCTATAAATGAAGTTTATATAGATCATTTTTATTGCACACATATATGAAATTTTATTTAAGATTTATTGTTTTGTTAGCATCTTTTGTGTTTAATGTCTGTTCAAAAGAAAAAAGGATCACAAAATAGAGTTCAAGACTAGAAAAACCGAAATGGTTCCTATTATTTCACAAAGACAGCCAAAGCTCTTTTTGCTCTGGTTATCAAGTAAACTAATCTTACTTTCTTTAACCTAGCCTTTATGCAACTTTGTTCCTTTACCTAAAACCATCATCATTTGATTAACTTCATGGCATTATTGCATATCTTTTATTATAAATTCATGAAATACTTTCTGGAAAGAGGTAGATACAAAGATTTAAAGGTTGAAAAATGACTATTAGAAAATAACAAAGTTGTTTGGGACAAAGTTTCATATATATGTACCTTTGAAGATTTTTTCTTTTCCTTGTAGTGTTTTGAATTTGACACTGAAGACATTAAAATTTTACTGATTTCAAGTCCAGTCTGAAGCTATAATATCAAAGAAACAATTCATAAAATTGATTTGCATTAAGCTTCTTCAAATATAATGAAAACCAGTTTCAGTTCATAAGCGTGAAAGTTCCTTTATGAGAGATGAGTACTACGGCACAGGCCTGTGGCTACTCAGGAACTGAGGCAAGAGGACCATCTGTGGCCCGTTCAAGGCCAAAGTGGGCAACACGGTGAGAGACCTCATCATCTCAAAAACAAAATGAAACAAAAATCTTTTGAGGAATTAAAAACCCCCCAAAATATCATTTTCTATGTGTATCAAAGTTAGCAAGTCTGTTGGTAACTATAATTATGCTTTGTTTATGAGAATAAATTATTTATACACATAGTATATACACACATATAGCAAACTGAAAATAGTCTATTGTAGGAATTATTCAAACTGAAAATACATGCATCTGCTAGAACGGGGACCTCTGGCAATGCATCCAAGTATATGAATATACTGGCTGAAAATTTCATTATTACACCAAAAAGAGACAAATTAACAATCTAAGGAGAAATTAAGAGTCTAAGATATAGAGTTCCACTAATAAAAACAGAGAATTGGGTCAAGAATATAGATCAGTGGTACAGCGCCTGTCTAGCAAGTATGAGGTTGTGAGTTCGATTTCTGGTACCAAAAAAACCAAAAAAACAAAAAACTGACCAGAAAACAATATATAAAATATATACATTTATAATATGTAATAGATTAATATTATTTACTTCAGCAGCTTTGTCTTGAAATAGCTTACGCTGATGTTCTTCTTCCTTAAGTTTTTCTTCTAGATGTTTAATCTTGTCCTGCAACAATATAAAACACTAGGATTGTTAATAGAAAAACAAGAGACAAATATCCTGTGTTTACTTTTCTAAACAGAGTTCTAAGGGTCTTGATTTTTTTAGTTCAGGCTCGCCTTGAATTCACTTTGTAGCCCAACATGGCCTCAAACTTGCAGCAAACCTCCTGCCTCAGCTTTCTGAGTGCTGGGATTACAGGTACATACCTCTATGCCTGACAAGTGTCTTGAGTTTTAACAGTTAGAAAATTAAAATAGAAAGTAAGTAAAAGAAATGGGAAAAAATGTTAAGGTTTTTCTTGGCTTTCTCCTATGCTTCCTTACCTGATATTATGCATTAGGAGAACAGAAGAAAAGCAAAGAATGTACACACATATTGACTTTATTATCTCTTATCAACAAAACCATAATGATAACATTGTTGAGAGTATAAAAGGCCTAGAAGATAAAATAGTTATAGTCTTGGGTCTCAATGTTCCAGAAACAGAAAAGTAACAATAAATGTCTTCCATGTGCTTATAATAAGAGCTCAGTTGTTAGGGAAAGGAAGACACAGGGGCCTTCTCACTTGAGAGCTTATACAGTATTGTACTTACAGAAATGAGTCAAATACATAAAACAAACCAATGACTATGACTTAACATGGACCATTTATACACTATATACCCTCATACACATAAATAGTACATCTTATACCTGTGAGAATAGGATAGTAACATTTTAAAGGAAAAAGTTTCATAACTGAAGGAATGCTTCAAAGAGAGAAAATCCTATGGAATGGAAAAGATTTGGAGGGAAGATAGTGGAGAGGAGGGGACCTAGGATAGGCTTAACTTCACCACAGGTAGTAAAAAACAGTCTTTTCAATATCCTTTAGGTATATTATCTGCGAAGTTAAAATACCTTGCTGGCAATGATCCTGAGAATATTCAGAAGATTCTTTAATCTAGCAGTTAATTGGAAAGATTCTCACCCTGACTAACTATATATACTGATACCTGTGAACTAAGCTACTGCACTGCAGATGGTAATTTGTAATAGTGGTTCCATGTTGGGAGTGCCTGTCATTGTGGTCTTCTGAATATGGGCGGCTTGTCATGACATGCCAGTTACTGCTAAGATGTCTCTTGGGTAGGTGTATGTTCAAGAAGAAGGGGGTGGTGAATGAAAGCAAGAGACAGGAAAAGGAATATTGTGGGACTGTCCTCCTTCAAGGTTGTATATGGTGAGATTTTTGGACTTATGTGCAAACATGAGAAGTATAGAATTCTTTATCCTATTTTTAAAATATAATCTAATTTTTAAATGTTTTTTTATCATATTATGTAGGGACTTAAAGTTCAACATATCAATACTTGATGAAAAATACCTGTTCCTTATTATGCCTAAGATGTTTGAAATGCAGTGAGATAGTGAGGTTAAGCTTGATAGCCTAAATCGTTTGATAATAACAATAAGCTTGTCTTCTGGATGGTTAACAACCTAAGTTTGCAGACCAAAATTAGAGAAAAAGGAGGGCTACAAGGAAAGCCAACATTTTGGCCCTAGCCTTCTAAGGTCTATTAAGACTCAGGACATATGAGAACCTGTACTGTAACGTCATGTACCTCGGTAGTGTCCCAAATTTTCTGATCAAGGAGATTATGGGGCCAAAGAGGAAAGTGATCGATGACGTAAAGTGTGCCTAAGGAGAGTCACATGGGGAGAAGACACTCTCTCAGGCTTTCACAGAGAGCACATTGGCCAAGCAATGGCCATGACTCATCCACATGGCTGCACTGACAAAGGTTCTACAATCTGAGGTACAGGACCTCAGGATAAATCCTGAGGGGATTTCACTGACCTTCTCAGACCAAAAAGCTACAACACTTGTTGCACAGGTCCTGCTTTACCTTGGTCTTAACCATCCAGTAGAAAAGTATGAAGACAAAATATAGGAAGTAAAGCCATGTTGTTATGTTGAGCTGTGGGGGACTCAGGTCAATAATTTCTGACATTGCCAGTTAAACAGAAGACCCAATGCTATTATGGGCTACTGGACTCTTTTAGAATATTTTGCTGAGTTTACACACCTATAATATTCAATAACAGAACTTAGAACAAATGGGGTATATTGATGAATGTCCATTTTGTATCTGTGTATTCAAAGTGGTTAGGATAGATATATAGTTGCATTCTCTTAATGAATAGAATGATTTGTTCTAATGGTGTTTGTAAATAGGATCTCAAGTCTGCATCTTGTACAGCAATTAACCACTAAGAAGAATATATGCAGTGTATTATTTGTTGAAACTGTACTTCCGATTTGATTTGAAACTGTCTCATTGCTATCTGTTTATCAATAAAATTTTGAAAAAAAATACCTTGCTGTTAGAAGAAGCCAAAATTATAATTTTACATCAAAAGCTACTGCATACTCACATACAAAGCCAATTTTGCTTACCACTAAAGATCTATTCCTGATCATCACTTCAAAGAAATAAGTAGAAGCTTACCTCAGCAGTCTTCTGAGTGGTTGTCAATCTAAAACATTCTTTTTCTAAGACATCAAGCTTTTCAAGTTTTGCATGCAACTTCATCTGATCTTGTTCTTTTTCCCTTTGAAGCTGGGCCTAGAAAAGAAAACAAAACCTGAATTTGGTAAATGATGCCAATGTATCAGGAATAATGCAATTTCTGTGAATGAAAAACTCAATATAAATGTTCTATAAGAATGTACATATGAGGTGTGACTGAGAAAGATGAGAAATGTTTACATTTGAAAAATTATTACAGTGAAAACACACTGCCATTAAGTTCCCTCCAAATGCCATTCCTTGCACCAAACACACATCCTGTTATTCTTGTCTAATTTCCAAATCCCTCTTTCATGTCTTAGTTTTGCTGCATGGCTCCTTCATTGTCACTAACTGATTCAAAATGTTTACCTTTCATGGCCATTTTGTTTGGGAAAGAGCTGTTGCATGGTGCCAGATCTAGTGAATATGGTCAATGAGAACAGACTGTATTTGCTTTTTTTTTTTTTTTCAGGACTATTGTCTTTCCATTGGATGGCACTCAGCAGCATTCACTGTTCTGGAAAAAATTCTTATCTCGTAAAGATACTCATGAGTGATGACTTCCACACTGTATCAGAAATGGCCAAAAATTAGGATAAGTATGTTCAAATTGACTGTGCGGGGGAATATTTTGACAGAATTGAATGGAAATGTGTCTTTTATGTAATAATATTTCAGTATCACAGTAATAATAAAATTAATATTACTAATAATAATTAGTAATAAGTTATTATTAATAATTGGTAGATGTTTTAGATTTTTAAGGTAGACATTCACTATATATATTTCAATTAAACTTCCTAACTTTAGGTGCTTACAATTTTTTAATTCTTGAGAATTAAAACATATAATCTGGGGTCTGAGGAGACAGCTTAGCAGCATAAGTACCTGCCTGGCAAATGCAAGTTCCTGAGTTTAATCTTCAGTACAAAATGTACACATTCTGTTACAAGAAACATACTTTAGGTGCTTACAAGCAAAAAACAACCATGACATTTTTAAGGAACAAATAAAATGTGCTATATTACAATCAATGGAATAAACTCCATTTTCATTCTTATATAATGTTTCTACTAAGGGACACATTAGAAACATCTATTGTAAATAAAGGGCTATTTACAAGGTAAATAAACCTACCTATTGACTTCTTTCTAACTCTAACATAGCAAAACAGCTATCATGTGAAAAAGTATGCAGACTATATGGGAAAAAGGAAATTCATACACATATATATGCCTTTCTATACATTTTTTTTGGGGGGGGGCAGAACCGGGGATTGAACTCAGACCCTTGCACTTGCCAGGGAAACACTTATTCCACTGAGCCATCTCCCCGGCCCAATATACATTGTTTTTAAGTACTATTTATTGCCACACTAATGAAATATACTAATGATATGGGTGACTGATGGTACTATCTGATCAATTTCCTAAACACTTAGAATGGCTCTAAAAGATAAAATCTAACTAATCACAATAAGTCTTGGTGATGAGTGACCTAATATTTAATTGGTGTCTCAGAAGGAGAGGAGAGAAAGGTAAGACAAAAAAATCATTGAAGAGTAACAGCTAAAAATGTTCTACATTTTAATGAAAAACACCAACAGTCTTGACAAATCTCAAGAAGTTCCAAGCAGAATAAATATAAGAAAATTACACATAGACACATTATTATCAAATTCTCAAAGCTGGATATAGTGACACAAGTCTGTAATTCTGGTACTCAGAAGACTAAAGCACGCAGATCTCAAGTTCAAAGCCAGCCTGGGCCACATAAGGATACCTTATGTCAAAAGTGGGGGAGGGCTGAAAATCATTACGAAGGGAAAAAATCTTAAAAATAATCTGAAAGATGATATAATATGCATGAGGGGGACCAAAATTCTTACCAGGAATCCCAGCTACTTGGGAGGCTAAAGTATGACAACCTGGGAAATTTAAGCAAGGGTCTCATCAAGAAATATTTTAAAATAAAATCAAAATTAAAATTAAATTTTTTATTGGTGTGGGTTTACAATATACAATAATTAGTATACATGTGTGCTTAGTGTATATATGTAGTGTGTACACAAATATATGTAGTATATTAATCATTTCCCATCCTCTTCCTTCTTCCCTACCCTACCCTTTCCTTTCCCCTGGTCCTCTTCTCCATCTCCAAAAAAAATCTGCTTCTCTGTTTCTACTATTTTGCCTTTATTTATATTTTGGGTTTCTCATATAAGAGAATTTCTGTGATTTCTAACCTTGTATGTTTGACTTATTTCACTTATCATTATGGTCTGAAGATCCATCTATTTTCCTACAAATAACTTGAATTCATCCTTCTTTATGGCTGAATAATACTCCATTATATATAGACACCACATTTTCTTTATCTATTTGTCTGCTGATAGGCACCCAGGCTGTTTCCACAGTTTATTACTGTGAATTGTGCTGATATATATCACTATAGTATAAAGATAGCACAAAGGCCATAAAAAAAACACATTTATAGAAGTAATCACAGAGTTTTCCAACTGTGCAAAAAGAGTAAGATATATAAACAAGTGAGACATATAGAACTCCAAATATAGCCATGATAAGGGAAAAATAACTATACTGAGGGATGCAATAGTCAAGAATCCAGAAGTTCAACATAAGAATAAAATCTTAAAAGCTGTTGGAGAAAATAGCTACAGTGAATCTTAGTTTATAACCTTGATTCTTTCCATTATTCTGGTCCTGAACCAAAAGTTGGATGAGAACTCAATCAGATCAAATGGTTTGGTTACGTGTGGTGGTGCATGCCTATAATCACAGCACTAAGGAGCTGAGGCTGAAGGATTGCTGGCAGTTCAAAGCCAGCCTGGGCTACATAGAGAGTTCAAGGGCAGCCTAAACTATAATATGAGGTCCTGTCTCAATAAAACCAACCCACCACCCCACCAACCCACCAACCAACCAAAAAACCAAATTCAATGGTGAGGATCAACGTTGTTAACCTTATGGGAAATTTGATTTGCTTCTCAGCCAACTTACTCTTTGATCAGAATCATGGACAGAACTGAGTTTGTGAATCAAGGTACTACTGTAAATTATTTATAAAGGAAAATCCATCAGAATTACAGCAGACTTCTCAACACAAATCCTAATGTCAAAAGACCTTGGAAAGAAGTATTTCAAACCCTAAAAGAAAACAACTTCCAAATCACATTGATGTACCCTGTAAAATAATTTTTTAAAATTAATGGAGAAATAAGATACTTCCATCATAAAGAGCATCTTAGATTCATGACCATCATATTAGCACTCCAAAAACTTCTCAAGGATATCCTAGAAAAAGACAATGAAGATAACAATTCCAAAAGTCCCATTAGAATGAATCTACCAGGCAAGGACAGCAATTAAATAGAAGGAAAAGAAAGGGAACCAACAATAAGGAAATAATATGACAAGGATGAGTTGGTATCAGTTATAATCATCAAGTAAATAGTTTCAATTCACCAATCAAAAGAAACAGATTGGTGCAATGTGTTCAGAAACAAGGTCCAATGATATACTGCATACAAGAAACACATTTAACTCAGAAATTCATAGACTGAAAGTCAACTGATAGAAAACAATACCCCATGTAATAGGAACCTGGAAAAAAGCATAAGTAGCTATTCTAATTGCAGAAAATTAAATCTCAACCAAGATGGATTAATCCAAGAATAAGAGATGGAAATCATAAATATATATGCACCAAATAATAGCACACCTAACTGTAGGGAGCTGTGTGTAGCCGCGCCCTAGGATGGCGCC